GTATTCATTTTACTAACTGCCTTACCATCCCAAAAAATGTTCAAGCATCTTTTATTTCTCTTGAACCAAGCCGGCATGAAAATGTAACTTTACAACCTTTGAGTTGGTGATACTGAGCTCTAGAGTAAATTGTGGGTCAAATATACTTTGTGCTAGAACCAATTGTTACTTGCGATAGTGGCGAATATCTGTAACTCGGGTGTAGGTAGGATGAAGGTTCGTTCTCCGAGCTTGTGGGTTGGTTTCCGAACATTTTGTTACCAGGCTGGGTAACATCTTCTGTTACTTTTTGTAACAGTTGCTTGTAATTAAATCTATTTTACTATATCTTAACATGTAGTAAAAGAGGACATTTCATAGGTCAATAGAATACCTGGCTCATATTTAAGTGATTGTCCACTAGGTCTCCCAAGATCTCTCTCGCAGTTACTACTACAGAGCAATTTCAATAGAAAATGTTTTGTCTTCTTCTTATAACCATTTTCCCCCTTCTGTTCATTTGTGTCTGATTCTCAGAGTCTGCCTGGATATGTTCCTGCAACATTTTCCAGAAATGGTTTGCCCTTCATCCTAGGGCTAAGAGAAAGTGATTGGCCCAAAGTCACCCAGGTGGCTATGTGCCTAAGGTGGGACTAGAACTCAAGGTCTCTCAATTTCTAGCCTGAAGTCTTAACCACTGTAGTACCAAACTGGCTCTCAGTTATACTATACTCTTGAGTAGATAGTTGAACAACACCTCCACTCTGTGGAATAAAAGAGAAATTTCTTCTCTATAATTAAATCTTCAGTCTATTGAAAATCATGGACTGAACTGTATCTGACATGAAATGCACTGTATAAAGTTCCATATTTTGGTCTCACACACAATTGCAATTTCTTCACCACATTGTAGTTTAGCAAAGTAGGCCTTAGTAAGGTTGGTGAGTTATCTTTGCCGCTATCAAATTCCTTCATTTTAAAAGAAGAAGCTGCTGACTTCTATTTGGCCAAATCTGCCAACAGTTTATTGAGAGATACATAAAGAGCATATGTTAACTTTAAGGGCAGCTCAACTTTTTTTATCCTGGCTATAAAGAAAAAGAAATTAACACGGATCCAAAAAACAGGATGCTCTGACTTCTATTATAAATTTACCATTCATCCCCCCAACCTTTTTTCTTATTATCATATTTTAAAATCCATAGTTATTATGTTGGCTCTTTCTTTCTTTCTTTCTTTCTTTCTTTCTTTCTTTCTTTCTTTCTTTCTTTCTTTCTTTCTCTCTAGCAAATCATGAGTTGGCAGGAAGCTGGGAATAAAAGACTTATTGCTTTTATCATCCCTCGATTGAATAGACAGGTGAGTTTTGTTGTTTTATACTATTTCAAATATCTATTTATCTGCAGTTATATTCATAATAAAAGCCAGTTTGGTATGGTGGTTAAAGCAATGTTTTTCAACCTGGGCAACTTTAAAACAGATGGACTTCAACTCTCAAAATTTCCCAGCCAGCATGAAAAGTTGAGTAGAATTCAGTGGGAACTTAGCATGGAAATTCTGAAAGTTTGAACCCACACTTTTTAAAGTTGCCAAGGTAGAGGAAAAAAAAAAACTAGGTTAAGGCGTCATGCTAGAAACCAAAAGCCCATGAGCTGTCATTTTTCCTACGCACAAAGCTAGCTGGGTGATGTTGGACTCATCCAGGCGTCTCTGAGAATCCACATGACTGAAGGGAAGAAATAACAATGAATATTATCAGTGGTTTGCCTATTTTTTATGATTTCAGGCTTGGATAAATGTGTTATAGAAGATATTTACTTTCTGTAACTTCCTGTTGTTTTTAATATTTTAATTTCCCCCTTGCATTTTGAAGGCTGATTGTAAGGCTGTAATATTGCGGTAATATAAGCTTTATAAAACAATGAAGGAACTATAAAGAGATTAAATGATTGATTATAGGTCTCTAATAGTATTGGTGCCAGTAAGTCTATAAAAGTTCTATAACATTTAACGGGAAATTCATCCAGTTCAAAGAGTTTGCTTGATTTTATAGACTGCAGTGTCGCCGCGATTTCTTGTCATGTCATTGTTTGTATTCATATATTTTTCTATTGTTTACTATATTTCAATGTGTTCCAGGAAATTAAAACTGTGCGTCTAGTTACGGAAATCTCTAATTGACGTAACTGAGTACAAAAATCATAAAACCTTTGATTAATGGATTCTGTTTCAGTAAATGGGTCCATCATTAGTCTGAATTCTAGATATATAGTTTTATGATTTCTGTTTCTTTGAATGGTGGGCCAGTAAATTCTCAGCTTGCCTTCCTGATTCCCAGTATTTTTGGTTAATATTTTAGTTAAAAGTTAATACTTTTCAAAGATATTTAAACTGTCCTGACTATAAAATCCCCAATATAAACTTTGCTGCTGTAAATACTTCCATCTGAATTCTCTGCAGGATATCTAGCATGTAACAAAAGTCAGTCTTAACCAACTGTTCCAGCTTTATAAAATTGGAGTCCCTAAGTCTCTTTTATGCTAAGTCGAAAGCATAAAAAGATCCCTTAATGGATGTTTTAAATGCATTCCAGAGAGTTAATGTGTTAGCCGAACCCTAATTAATTTCTAAAAAAAAAAACCAATTTATTTCTCAATACATTCCACACACAAAAAAAGAGTTTACGGAGAAAAACATTCAAGTACCATCTGGAATTAGCTGATGTATGGGGTTAATATTAGTGCTACATATGAAATGTTTCTTGTTGTTCATTGTTGCAACTATAGTTGATTGTAAACAAATTACACTTGGCTCAGTTTGCAAAATATGTTAAATCATAAGCTATGATTTACAAATTACAATCAGTAGAGCCATACAACCCAGTAAATCAAAGCCAATCCAACAAGATGGCTTTACTATGACAGGTGAACACTTGTCTTTGTTATCTGATTAGACTTCACCTGGACCCAAACTCAGAATCTGAAGAACAGATTCAAAGCCTAGATAGATAGATAGATAGATAGATAGATAGATAGATAGATAGATAGATAGATAGATAGACAGACACATAGACACATAGACAGACAGACAGACAGACATGTATACATATACATACTTACAAAAACAGAGAGAGAGAGAAAGAGAGAGAGGGAGGGAGGGAGAGATTAGAATGGAGGTTCAGAATAACAGAATAAAAGGGTTGGAAGGAACTTTATAGACCCTATTCGATTTCAGACAAATGATTGTCCAATCTCTTCTTAAAAACCCTCAGTGATGGAGCACCCACAACCTCTGAAGGCAAATCATTCCACTGATTGTTCTCACTGTCAGGAATTTTCTCCTTAGTTCTAGGTTGGCTCTCTGCTTGATTAGCTTCCATTCGTTGCTCCTTATCCTGCCTTCTGGTGCTTTGGAGAATAGGTTGATCCCTTTTTCTTTTCTTTTCTTTGTGGCAGCCCCTTAGATATTGCAGCCCTGCTATCATGTCACTCCTAGTCCTTCTTTTCATTAAACTAGACATTTTCAAAACTTATATCTCTTCTTCCCTCCATTGTGTCATCACTGGCTAAGAGCCATTCATTTCCCAGGGTGGAATGTGGTTATACTTGCCTGGTCTTACATTGCTTCTGAGGTTGCTAGCTTTTGTTAGATCCTTTCCTGGAAGTCCCAGGACTCTTATTTTTTGCTTCCTTATACTCCCATCTGAGAAACTCAGATAATCAGATATCAGATAAGATATCCACTTATTTGTGCTGCTGCTGCTAAGCAACTCTCCTCAAACCAGAACTTCAGCCTCAGGTATGGGACTCAAGGAGGTCAGCTTTAATTAAAGACAGGTTATTTATCTCCAAGAAAATCCACTTTCCACAAAGAGCAGAAGTAGAGTCTCACCCGGACAGGCTGCTTGTTTTCAAAATCAGCTCTTTTCTGCCTCCGAAGATCAGCTGCTAATGGCAACATGCATAAATGTGATCCGCCCTTCTTTTGCTGGTTCCAGGGGCTGCTTTGGGTTCAGAGAGCCAGCTTCCGTTCCCCAAAGATTCGTCCTTCAGCAGCCACCCCTCCAGGGTGGCTTTTAGCCCAAACGGGCTCGCCAGCGAAGGAATTTCGGACCCAGGGAACGGACGATCGTTCCCCAGGGTCTACAGTCAGCAAGATCACCGGAAGTACTCCACCATCTCTTCCTGTCAAACACAGAACAGGTAGTCCTCAACTTACAACAGTTTGTTTAGTGACCGTTCAAAGTTATACAATGGCACCGAAAAAGTGAGTCATGACCATCTTTTGCACTTCTGTCCGTTGTAGCTTCCACGGGTTCACCTGATTCCCATTTGGATGCTTGACAACTGGCTCACATTTATGACGGTTTTAACGTCCCAGGGTCATGGGATCCCCTTTTGTGATCTTCTGACCAGCAAAGTCGATGGGGGAAGCCAGATTGTTGCTAATTTAACAACTGCAGCGATTTGCTTCACAAATAGGGCAAGAAAAGTTGTAAAATGAAGGGGGGGAAACTCACTTAACAAATTTCTCACTTAGTAACATAAAGCAACGTAAATTCCTGAATAAATTGTAGTTGTAAGCCAAGGACTACCTGTAAACAGGAGCAGAGGTGGAATTCTATCATTTCCACATCATTGTTAGCTACTCTTCCCACGCCTAAATTGCCTTCATCCCTTTCAGTTAGAGCAGCATTTTTGAATCTTGGGGACTTGAAAAGGGTGGACTTCAACTCCCAAAATTCTGAGAGTTAAAGTTCATCCATCTTCAAGTCACCAGGGTTGAGAAACACTGATTAGAGCGTTCCCTTTCTCTCTCTGGTGTGCTGGATTTGCGTCATCTTATCCCTGCTTTTCTGGTTAAAGCCCTTTGTTGCTGCATTGCTTTCAGCTGTCACATGTCCTGGCATCCATGCGTCAAACCGTAGAGGCATGAGTGAAACGTCTTAGGAAATCAGCTCCACACTAAATGAGGATCGTTCTCTCCAACAGGAAATTATTAGCAAGATAAAGAACCAAGCATACTTGTGAAACATATTTTTATTAATAAGAAATGCCAGTAGCTCCATGTACAAAATGTGAGTCAAAAGAAATGCAAAAAATTAATTCACTGTTAATGCAAATTCACACCCACAAGCTGGAAAACGGTATTGGTTGCAAAGGATATTTTGTGCATGCTAATTTTTACAAATCCCTAGACCGAAGACGGAAAATGTTAGCTAACAAGAATCTACTTAACTAACAGTCAGCATTAAATTGGTGCTAGACAAGAGTTAATGGAAATCAAGATGGGGTGGACTTGGATCAATTGTGGGAACCTAATGATTCTAAGCTGAATCCTCTCTTGACTCTACCTTCTTCCTTTGCTTCTTCTGCACCAAAATAACTATCTTCTCCATCTATAAATTTGATTTAGGATATCTTTATAAAATAAAACAAGACGTTTTCAGGTCCTCCTTTTTTATTTAAACCAATAGGCTTGTTTGAATCTGAGGAAGTACTTATGAACCAACTTGGGAATTCTGCAGATTCAAAAGAGCAAATCTCTGGCCTGCCCTCACTTTTGCTGTAGAAAGTGAAATTCTTGAAGTTTTCTGGGGTTGCATACAGCTGCATAATATTTTCCTCCTAAAAAAAAAAAAGGAAGTCTTCTTTAGCAAATCAAAGTATATTATATCACATGACATTGTGGCTACAAGATTAATGGAGAATGGCTTTGCAGAAGACTTTTTCCCACTAAAGGAGTATCATTGTTTCTGATTTAGAACTTGGAACCACAGGAAGCTTTTAATTATATGTGTAGTAGTCTCAGCAGTACTTTGCTTTTCCACACTGACAAGTCCAGAACTACAATTTAATTTATTTGTGAAAAGTAAAACACAAAAAAACCCTGTCACTAATTATATCAAGGAGAAACAATGACAGAGAAAGGTAGCATTTACTATAATCTGGCACATGCTTATTTACGAATAGATTGTGAGTTCTCTTATTTCACAGAGTAGACACAATTCTAATCCTAGTGAAAAAGGAGAACCAGTCATTTTTCTAGGAAAAAGAATGAGCACAAATGAAATACTCACCATGAGCTGTAATTGAAGCTGTCCATCACCAGACTTTATACAGGACAGAACACGATTATTAGCACCTATAAAGATTGGATTCCTTTTTGAATCTAAGGAGGTATTAGGAACTACATCAAAAGAACTCTCTGGGGAAAAATAATATGAAAGAAAACAGAGTCAATGGTTTCATTGATTTGGAAATATTGACTGAGAAACCACAGACTGAAAGTTAACAATATGCTTTACCAAAATAAATGGCAGATAATTGTAACTAAGGTGGAGTAGAAGAAGGTGGACATGACACAAACAATCATTGGGAGTTCCAAATTATTTAGATCAGTGTAGACTTAGTGGAAATGTTCAGATAATATTCCAGAGGCTCCTAAAAATGACTGAGCTTCTTGCCCCACCCTGTGTATGTGTGTTTGTGCGTGTGTGTGTGTGTGTGTGTGTGTGTGTGTGTGTGTGTGTATTGCAAACCAGGCTGGAAGGCCGATCACAAGAAAACATCAACAAACAGGAACTAGACAGCAGTTAAATTATATGAAAGCAATAAATCTACCCCAAGACATTTACAAACATAATGAAAGTAATACTGAAAACTTATGAAAACCTTACGCTTTTTGAAAAATCTTTTCATTGTCTTTTGTTTTTAATTTTTATCATCCTGAAAACTGTAGGGCAAGAATCATGTTGACAGAAAAGCAGGTACCCAGGACAAATGGGTGCCCAACAATATCATGTGGCGATGAAGTATCAGAGAATGGACCATTCAGGGGTTTTCAGTTTTTTCTAACTCACTGTTGGATAGCAAATCCTGATAGCTCCATCATTGTTGTGATGGATCAATCCGAGTCTTGGTGACTATAATAATTACTAACATCAAAGATGTCCCATCAATAATTTGGCTAATACTAGGACTACAATATTCCAGCAAAATATAAGAGATTTTTTTTTTGTTACCTGGTGAATTTGAATTTTGTGGAGTTGCTATCAACTTGTTGTTCACCACACTGAGAAACTGATTGCTTATATCCCAAAATTTAAACTGCCAGGGTTGTCCCGCCTTTTCTGTAGGAGGTACTGAAGAATCTACAGGAATATGCACATATACATATCAACATATAAAACACAAGCAAAGAGAATGTTCCAAACGTGGAATATTCCAATGAACATTCCAGTGAAAATATTGGAATGTAATACCTTTAAAGTTGCTAATGTCACTGAAAGTTTGGGATCAACACTATTTCTTAAGATATACCGTATTTTCCGGCATATAAGACGACTTTCTAAACCATGCAAATCTTCTCCGAAGTCGGGGATCATCTTATACACCGAGTCATGTTTACACCGGAAAATATGGTACATGAAGAATCTTGAGATGTTGCAGAAACAAACAGTAATGGGGAATTTTAAAAAGAAGTAAAAATAGACTCTCTCGCCATTCCTCTTCTCTTTACTCCTTGGACAACTACAGATTTATGTATTCATAAACCAACTTCCAACAAGATATTCCCAAATATGGGCAAGAATGCAAACTTTATTGCTATGTTTGGCCTCTTTTTCTGTAGAATCTAATGCCTTGAATTGACTTCCTTACGAAGAGATGAAAGAATCCATTCGTAGGGTTTTTTTAGAATCCATTTTAAGCAATGTACATTAACAGTAGATGGCTTAAAACTGATTCCAAAGAACTGTATGAACCATCACTCAGTTACACTGAAGACTACAAACTGGAAAAAGTAGATGGTTAATCTGATATCAGAATGTATGCATGCATCATATATGGCATCAGTTCTGCACGGGAATTTTCCTGCGTAATTTAGCATCAACCTTCTCTAGTCCCTAAGCTCAGTGTCATCTGAACCCCAAGATGGGTGGCAAATATATTTGATAAATTAAATAAATAAGCATGTCTCATAAAACAGGAAAATACTCTTCATTTCTGTATTGACTAAATGATTAAGGATGTAGTCATGGTTTGGAAATATCTCAAGGACAACAGAAATAAAAAAAAATCACCTGGTGTTGGCTTGAATGCATTGAATAAATCTTCCATTTGCTTCTCCCATGATATCTTACATAATTTATTTGCCATGCCTCTTATCTTTTCAAACTGTTTTAAATTTCTTTAAGTTTCCTTGATCTTCAAGTTGTGTTATTGTTTTGTTCTTGACAAAGATGGACATGGAAAGAACTGCTTGGGAGGAAAAAAGGATTCCTTTAGCTTTGCTTCTTGGCAAAATGAAAACTGAAAGCATCAAACACACTCCAAATAACAGTTTATTTTTTTATTGTTAACTTTTTAAAAAATGTTTTAAAATAGTTAATTTAAAAAGTCGCTTTTTCTCCTTTAGACTTTTTGATTGGCTTCTTACTCTGTCTGCTGTTTGACTTTTTTTCTTGACTTGGTTGCCTAAGGACCAAGGAGCTTCAATGTCCACCCAAAGAAACAGTCAAGGATCGTGGTAAATTCAAAACCTTTGAGATGAGATCATCACCTCTTCACTATGAGTCAGCAAAATTTGCAGCTCAGTTACGTACTCTGGGAGTTTTAATCATGTACAGGTCTCATGTGCCTCTAGCAAGCCAAAATGGAGACGCTTCTTTCCATTGTAAGTCATCTTCACTCAAAATGTGGACATTGCCTCAGAGACATCATAGAACAATATCCACTTGCCAAACGTTTTCCTACCTAATTTGTTTATTTATTAGATCTTCCACTTATTATTTGGTCAGATACCACCACAACAGGTACAGCATGCAATTTTAAAAGACTGTTAACGTGTTAACCAGAAGTATTTTCCAGGAAAAGGGACCAAAACATTTTTTCCATTTGGTATGACTGGCTAGTGCTTCATCAGCATGTTCAATTATTCTTAATTTCTGATGCTTAAATATCTCTTGCTATAAGGACCGGTGAAAAGGACACAGAGAAATCACACTTAAGAGGCAGATTGGCAGAAGAAAGAAAGGTTGTATTTTGAAAGACATCCTAATATGAAATTAAAATTACAAAAAAAATTGAAGCATACATTTTAATTAATACATTCACTTAAAGATTTTTAAAAATTCAATTTCTTGAATCAAATTCTGACTCCCAAAGTGCTGTTATTGCATGATGAAAGGGAAAGTAAGTTGATTTTAAAAAAAATTACATGGAAGGGAATACTGTACAGCAGGGGTGTCAAACTGCCGGCCCGCGGGCCAAATGCATCATAGCGAAACCACTCCCACCCCATTGCCGGCAATGGAAAAAAAGTCACAATACGTCGTGATGTGAATTTGATACCCCTGCTGTACAGTTTCTTGAGTATTTTTCTCTTCCATGAAACTCACACCAGTCTTAAATAAATCCCATTTCCCCAAGGAATGGGAAATGAGATTTATTTAAAAATTTAGATCCTTTCGTGGATAAAAATTCACCTGTTTCTTTCCTGGTAAGATTACCCTTCAACCTGGAGAACAAAGTTGCAGGTGTAAATGGCTGTTTTAATGCTCATGTACCACCAGCAAGATACAGGAAGAAATCAACTACAAATAGGACTAAACTCAGATATCATTTCAGTAATCTGGCCCTGGAAGAAAATAATTTGTCGCAACAAGTCTACAAAGATACATCAGGAAACAGTACCTCTGTTCTCTGCCTTGGTCTGAAGGCTCATTTCCTGTCATCTCTTCAGAAGATGTATGTTTTGTAGTGGCAGAGGAATTCTTGATTAAGACATGTTTTATCATTGGTTGGTTTCCTGCTTGTTATCTTCTCTCCATCTCACACTAGTAACAGCTTGCAATGAACCAATCAAGTCTTAGGATGTAGCAACAAGTTTCGACACCACATGTCTTGTATTTCTTAGGGATTCCCACACAAACACAAAACTAGAATAAAATAAAAGCTGAAGACGTCTGTGAGTAAGTCATGGGTTCTTGCCCTTGAGTAAAGGATGAGGCTCTGTCAGTTCTTTTCTGGATGACATTATCACAGGTTTGTTTATTTTTCCAACACTGAGGAGTTCCCAAGTTGTCATTCATCATTACGAAACTGAAGCTTGTGCAATGGGTGCCTTAATGGTCTTTATTTGATGTTAAGAAAAACTCAGCTCTGAAAAATGCAGGAGGTGGACACGCTCATAGGCAAAAATAGTAGGAAGTGAGCATAAAACCTGAATTAAGTACTGTATCTTCTCATTTATTATAAAGTTAACAGAAATGAAATATGGTTAATATGATTAGTCTCCATGGGAGTTATTTCTCTTACTAAGCAAAGGTGTAGCAGTTCTGATGACAAGGAACAGAAGCAGCCTTCACAAGAGACTTGACACCTCCCTTCTGTATTGAAAGAGAATATGGAGATTGGCAAGAGTTTAGCTGCCCTAAATTGCCTCATTCTAGGTCCATGAAATGTATAAGAATGAGGGTGAAGGTTCATTCTCTGAGCTTGTGGGTTGGTTTCTGAACATTTCGTTACCAGGCTAGGTAACATCTTCAGGAGAGTTTAAGGGATGTCATTGTAAGTGTCTCATCTGAAACTAGGGCCGTTGCCAGAATTCTTATCCAACATTTCTTCATAATAAATACTCAACACCAAATCTCTTTGATTCTTCTTCTTTGGATTAAATGATTACAATCCCAATTATGAGGAAGGTAGTATGGCGCTTTCCAGCTATGTGTTTCCTAATTGCTCCATTGTATTGCAATTTGGTAGCAAAGTTTTTGAGGTTTCCTGGAGTTGCACTGAAATTGTTGTGGTGCACACCTCAAGGGCCTGAGATGGTGCTCTTCTGCTTCAATGGTTTGAATGAAGACTGCGTTTAAAATAACAGCAGCAGAGTGGCTTCCGGTATGTGCAATGTGTAAAATATATTTTTTTCTATCAAACGTAGTGGTTACAATTGTGATTTTCATTCATATATTTTAGGGAGGCCTGGGGAGTTTTCTCTCTTTTTGCACTGTTATCTTGTCCTTTAACACGGATCCTTTCTCTCCCTTTCTGATACAATTGTTGTTCTGATGCTATAATCAAAGGAACAGGAAATCCTCTGTTGTCTATAGCAGGGAAACTTAAAAGGGTGGGATGGGATGGGATGGGATGGGATGGGATAGGTTAGGATAGGATAGGATAGGATAGAATAGAATAGAATAGAATAGAATAGAATAGAATAGAATAGAATAGAATAGAATAGAATAGAATAGAATAGAATAGAATAGAATGTAGGATAGGATAGGATAGGATAGGATAGGATAGGATAGGATAGGATAGGATAGGATAGGATAGGATAGGACAGGACAGGATAGGACAGGACAGGACAGGACGAGATGAGACAAGACAAGACAAGACAAAACAAGACAAGACATAAAGGGGAATAAATCTTTACAGGACTATGGATAGGCAAGGAAGTAATAGGGAGCATGCTTTACCCATCTTCATCAGAAACAGAAAGGGGATATATCATCAGTAAGGGTCATTGATTTAATGGGCCATAGGTGGATCAACTGCAAAATTGTTATAACATAAAATAGCAGCTGCCACCCAGCAGAGACTGTCGCAGGATAAAATGGCTGCACAGGACAGGAACCGTCTAATACCTGGAGAGTGAGTGCAGACCCTGCAGTCAATCAGAGGTTGTGGCTACTGCCAGGCAAGATCAAAGGCCTGGAGACCATCAGCCCATAAGGATTGAAGGCAGTTCAGGCCAGCAAGCAGCAGTTTTGAATTGGAAAACACTGGCGTGGGATGCATTTCCAATGGTTGGGCGTGGGAGGAAAAAGAAACCATCTGTTCTTGGACTCAGGTAACAATGAATCACCCTCTCAGCGATGGGCCAAGGAGAAAGTGGAGAAATGCCCTCCATTTCATTATGCTATAATGGAAGAATAACTAGAAGGTAGTTAATGAAACTCAAATACTTGGCTACCTAATGAGAAGGAAGGACTCACTGGAGAAGGGCCTAATGCTGGGAAAGATTGAGGGCAATAGAAGAAGGGGATGACAGAGAATGAGATGGCTGGATGGAGTCACTGAAGCAGGAGGCGTGAGCTTAAATGGATTCCAAAAGATGGTAGAGGACAGGAAGACCTGGAGGAACGTTGTCCATGGGGTCGTGACATTATTATCGTTAACAACAAGTTAACGATAATAATGGTGATGAAGACTTTTTCATCAGGAGTGCATCAAGCCAAAACTCAATGGGAGTCCTATGAATAAACTTTTCAGGATTTGACCAGAGCATGGAGTAGATTAACCTTCCTCTCTCTTTGTACTGCAGCATCTATATTTTGGAGTTGGCTCTCCTATTAAATTAAATTAAGCTTCCTAACGATCTATTTGCAATATCTGAATATTGCAAAAATTTCTCTCATTATACACTATATTCAGCACCCTTTCCCACTGTGAAAGTCTGGGTCCTCTGCAAATCTTCCATTCACTGGAGAACACGGGTTGTTCTTCTTAAACAATGAAGCAGATGGTTGTAGAGAGTTTGGGAAACGGAATCAACCTGGATTTTTATTTGGATCCACAAGCTGGATGTTAACAATATTATTCTACAGAAATAAAGACCATACAATCAAGTCCATATCATCCATGAACCTGTATTGTACCTTCCCCCAAAATAGGACATAGTTCTCCGAAGTTTTTTGATTGCAGGAAGAATACTATCTAAGTCTACTCATCGGCCTAACTGTGCATTCTGGCTCCATTCCAATTTGTATATGCAAGGTCTATTATAAACATAGATGCAGAAGAGTATTTCTGGCTCATGATTTTCTTTCAAAATAAAACAGGACGTTCTGAGGTCCTCCTTTTTGACTCAAACCAAGAGGCTTTTTTGCTTCTGAAGAAGTGCTGAGGAACCAACCCGGGAACTCTGCAGATTCAAAGGAGCAGGTATCACCGTTGCCATCACTCTTACTATAAAAAGTGAAAGCTTTGGCATTTTTTGAATCCCAATAAAGTTCCTTAATAGCTTTCTCCTAGGGAAAAAAAGGGAGAGACCATGAGAAAGAAGTGACGTAGGAATACTAGGACAACCTGGTTGTAAGTTGCATCAACCATCATTAGCAGCCCCTTAGAAGATTTCTACAGTCTATCGAGATGGAATTCACGTTTTCCCTTTTTACAGAAAATTTTATAAATTAACACAAGTCAGCTGATCAAGTTTATTTAGTGTCTAAGTGTCCAATCCAAGCAGGTTACATAAGTAGCCATTAGCTAAAGCTTCTAGAAGTCTTCCTTATATACAATAAGGCCGTGGTGGCAAACCTATGGCACACATGCCGTCACCCCAGTCCTAGGCCTTCAGCTGGGTTTTATAAAACCTTTTCGCTTTAGGGCTCCACCGCCGTGTGCAACAAAAATCAATCAATTTTGAAAAAAAGATCTCACAAAGTTGGAATTGATTGATTGAACTTTTTAGTCCCACCCAGTCTGCTGTTACCACTGCAGCCATGCCCACCCAATGGCCCACACCCACCCAATGGCCCACACCAACCAATGGCCACGCCCACCCAGCACCCGATGATACATAAGTGGGTTTTGGGTTGCAGTTTGAGCACTCGGTCTCTAAAAGGTTCGCCATCACTGCAATAAGGAATATATCATTGAGAATAAAAGGATAAATAAAAAGGACAATTTTCCTAGAGAAAGCAAAATATGTTTGTAATGCAAGTCAAACACTCACTTTTAACTCTAGCTGATATTGACCATTCCCAGACTTCACACAAGACAAGCAGCTGTTCTTATTTTCAGGGCCCATAAATATGGGTTGTTGTGGTTTATCTAGAGATCTATTAGGAAGCACGGCCATTAACTGCTCTGGAAAGAATGAAAAACAAGAAACAAGATCAAGGAGTTAAGAAAGAATAGAAAACGGGTTTTTTCCCCCTATTGATGGAGATGTTTAGGATGAGGAACCATTGGTATCTGGCTAACAATATGATTTAAAAAGCAAAAGGCCTCTGGGGAAAAATATAAGGGGGTTATTGTTTTTTATTTTTATTGTTTTTTATTTTCTTTTTCTATACTGTGTTTTTATTGTTCATCAGCTGCCTAGACTCACTGCAAGCGAGTAGGAGGCTATATAAATTTTCTAAATAAATAAACAAACAAGCAAACAAACAAACAAATAATAGTGATAAATGTAACCATCAGCCACAGTGAGTCCTGATATATCCGCCATCAGCTTTTCATCACTCAAAGTATCCCATCAATAATTTTGACCAAGAGAAGGGCTGCAATTTTCAAGCACAAGATAAGAAGCTTAGTTTGTACCTGGTGAATTAGACGATTTCACATCTGCCACTAACACGTTGTTCACCAAAAATAAGTATTTCTGATGAATATCCCATAATTTAAACAATCGAGGATCATGTTCTTTCAACGCGGTTGCTTCTTGATTTATGGAAGGAATAGGGATATGCATTAAATACTTATTATATGTGCAAACGAAGAGAACATTCTAAAGAAGGAACAATCAGAGAAGATTAGAATGATATATATGTCACTGAAAAATGAATTACAAATAATTTGCCCCTCTTTCAAGTGATTTGCACAGATCTACCAGTGTCTCTCGAAAGCTGTTTGGTCTTGGTGGATATCATACCAAGAGGTAGGGGAGAATCCTTGAATATAGCCTTATGGAATGTAAACATGAAAGCAACTGAGATAATACTACAGGACCCAGGAAGAGACAGGGTGGATAAGTTCTGGATAGTTCTAGCTATACAGGAGGAAAAGGCCCTAAAATATGGTTAGCAGGCAGTCATGTGACCACATGTAATTAATGTCAAATACGGGCAAGATGGAAGCAATTATAGCCTAGAGTCACCATTAATTCAATCTGTCCTCGCTTCTTCCTTTTTCCTATCTTTCTTCTTCCACATTGTCCTCTTTCCCTTTTATTTCTCTCTCCTTCCCTCCCTCCCCTTTTGGGTTCACCTTGCTGATATTCAGTCAATCAGCCAATCAAATCTGGATTTGATTCAGTCATAAACCAGCAAAATGCTGCAATTCAGTTTTGAAAGGAAAAAACAGGATTGTATGTAATTAATGTCTTTTGAGAGAGGCATTGTAGTAGACCTGGGCAACCTTGTGCTGTAATTAGAGTTTTAAGAAGATCACCTTCAATCAAAGGTTTAAAACAGTTTCTTTTAACGGAGAGGTGTATGTGTGTGAGAGAGGGGGGGTTAGAAACCAAATATGGGGTGTCAATGGAAGATATAGAAGACTTTGTAAAGCATAAAAAAGGGACAAGCTTAATATATGGCCATTCTCATGTCTAAAATTAACTTTCTGCAAAATAAGATGAGAGTACTCCATGGAGCATCTACTTGATATATCAGCTAATGAATAAGATGAACATTTGCTGGACAGCTCTATTGCTATGTACACAACACTTTGCATTTGTTTTGGTATAGGGTAGCTTCCTCCAGAGAATAGTACTAGGAAAAGTTTTGACTTTAAAAAAACTGAAGATTGTATTTTTGTAGGATTGAAAAAATGAAGCTCATTTTTACAATGGCCAAATAATTAAGGATACATGCATGACTGGGGCAATGTTTCCAAAGCAGCAAATGAAGAGAACAACATCTTTCTCACCTCCTTCAGTACCACGAAATAGATCTGCTATTTCTTCATCCCAAGTCTTCTTATGAGAATGACTTGCCATCTCCCCAACCTTTCTACTTCTTCAGATTTCTCCAGGATCTTCAGAAGAAAGAATAGTTTAAATTAAAAATCCTGGGAAACAAAAGATGGAAAATATCAAAGACATTCTGAACAACATTGGTTGCTTGATTTTCTCAAATGCAATGTAATGTATCAGGTGTTGGAGCATCCACAACTTCTGGTGACAAATCGTTCCACTGATTAGGGAATAGAAGGTAGCTATCGGTGATCAAGATAGAGACGTATAGGAATTTAGGAGAAATGTATAGCATCCTGATGGCGTTCCAAGCCTACCCAAAAGGACCTACATTTTCTTCAAAATTCCAAATTATCTAGTGCTACAATTTCCCCTCTTGTGAAAGGACAAAAAAAAAAAAAAAACCATCACCACCATCCAAACTAGCATTATTAATTATTGCTCATTATTTTTTTCTTTACAGTATGCTTACAGCAAGTGTTTCAGAGTAGTGAATGAGATTGTATTAAGATATAAGCATGATTCAGAAAACCTATAATCCCCGTGACCGAATCAGGTTTGGTTGCTGCAACATTATCCTGAGACAGGTATATTTGCCTTCATTCATAATTTTAATAAGTTGCATCCCTGCTTTAATGGGAAAAAAATAACTATTGAACTATAAGAAAGAAAAATGGAATCAGAACAAATACAAACAAGCCCGGCAGATGTTTTAAAAAGTGCTAAATAGAAAAGCAAGTAGATATAGTTAAACCAGTAAATACAAGGGCTTCTCCAAAGTAGTTTTCTTAAAAGGAAATCTAGTTGCTATCATCTAGTCCCAAAGTACCAAAACATCAATGACTCTTGGACAGAAAATGAAAAGGCCTCTTCCCTATGGATAGTTGGTCCTAGGAGCAGGTAGCCTAACCCAATAAATCAGGTAACAATACCTGTGGAGATGTTCCTTCTTGGGCTGAAGATTCCTTCTGTTTGATCATCACTGGAACTGACATAAGATCTTATATCTATCAGAGGGTGTTAACTGACATGCCCATTGATTAGTTGTGAAATCACCCTCCCGACTACTGTAAGAGATCATTTATCACTACATCTGGCTGTCCAAAACTCCCCATCCCTAAGGTATTGCTTATCTCCAATGACTGATGCCTTCTAATCAGGGTTAACACCCTGACGTTGCTTCAGCTCACGCATGCCAACACAACTGTCCTGCTCAAATTACTCACAAGAGTTGAGTAACCAACTCAGGGTCTGCTGTATTGCATTTCAAACTGTCATGGAAGTCACTTTTGTTCCTTTAGGGGTCAGGAGGGGTCAAGAGTCACAATCCCACCCACACCCCACCAGCTTGATATAATTCAGTTTAACTCTTATTGTCCAGAAGCAAACTTTCATTTTGCACAGAAAGCCTTCATAGAAAGTTTTCCTATTGTTCCTACAAACAATAAATCGGAACATTAATTTGCACGAAGGGTTTAAATAGGATTGAAACTTAGTCTAGAGGGATTAATATGATGAAAGCATTCAGTCCGAAACAATTATTTAATTCTAGGTTATACCTGCATACCAACGCCTTATTTAGATTGTTATAGGACACACAAGGAGCATATCTTTTTTTTTCCATGTTTAGGAGTGATTTGAGGGGAAATATTAAGTTCCTCCTTGACACATGAAATAAAGGATTAAAGCATGGGGCACTGCAAGTTCCATGTGAACTGAACATGATATCACCTAAAATAAAATGGTCGATAAATAAGTAGAAGTCTTCCAGCTGCATTCCTTAATTCATTGACTTTGACTTTACTGGCCTGAGATCTGTTTTCTTGAGGACTTCAATTTGTGTTATGCAGACCCTGTTCAATGAGATTTTCGTCTTAACCTTCTTGTTCATAAATGTTCCTGAATTTCCCCCCTCACTTCAGCCTGCTTTCTGCTTCTGTGTGTCCTTATCCTAATAAATCAAACACCTCAAGTGTACTAGAGCAAAACCTATCAAGATTCTTAATGGAGAATCTCTCCCATGCAAATAGGAAAGTGATGCTTCATATCTGTCTGAGCATCATCCTACAAATTCTGCCAAGTTTTCTCTACGCTAAAATTTCATGACACTCATGGAAAATGCCGCACCTACTCCAGAATATTCTTGTCCTCCTTTCATGCTTCCACTGGCAATCTAGCAATTAGATATTCAAATTAGTCAAGACATGCAAATCAAAGTCAACTTTGGCACACCCATTTTTCCTGGCACTGCAGCCATGGATGGCATGTCTCTTCCAGATGTGTTAGCCAACCACACCCTCCTCCTCCTCCTCCCCAGATCCTGCTTCTCATCCTGGAGAAGAGAAAGTGGGTGGAGTGCAACCTAACCAGATCAACAAACCACACCCATCTTTCCCTCAAAGCCTGGGTTTTTTTTCTCCTTCTTTCACACAAACGCATCTCCAGTAGTAGAAGATTACAGGGATCTGTTGAGGCCACTTGGGAATCGAGCAGGAGAGGATAAAATGGGGGAAAGTCCTAATGGCACTAACACGATGGCAATGAGATGGGAGGGTGGTGCATCCATTCTCGCTCTCAGTGGCTTTTGGTTCCATCGGTTCTGACATCCTTCTGGACCCGCTTCTGGGATCGCGGACTGGGGGCACTGCGTTGTCCTGGTGCATTTCTTCCTCTGAGGCCATTCTCAGTCAGGGGAGAGAGATCTGACCCCTGGCCTTTGCTTCTTTCTCTGCTACTGTTTAACACCTACATGAAACCGCTGGGGGAGGTCATCCGTCACCAGGGGCTGAGATATCATCAGTATGTTGACAATACTCAGCTGAGCCTCTCTGCCCGTGATGACTTAAGTAATGCTGTGGTTTGCCTTTTCCCAGTGCCTGGAATGCAGTTGAGGTCTGGAACTCAACTGCATTGCAAAACTGAACTCTGCCAATACGGAGTGGCTCTGCATTAGGGGCTCCTTTTGCCCTGGGAGAATTGCCATATTTCAGGCTCACTGCTCAAGACTGACAGCCTGGAGGCTGACTAACTTTCCTGTCACTTTGTACTGCAACATCTGTAACGGGTTCTCTTATTAAAGTAAGTTAAGCTTCCTAAGGATCCATTTGCAATATCCAAAGCTGCTATATATTTCTCATTATACCATTTATTAAGCACTCTTTCCAATTGTGAAAGTCTGGGTCCTCTGAAAAAGCTGCCATTCATTGCAGAACAGAAGTTGTTCTTCTTAAACAATGAACCAGATTGTTGTGGAGAGGACTGATTCTTGTAACAGTGTGGGATAACACAGTTGTGCCCAGCCCTGCAAATTTTAAGATTTGTCTGGCTGATTGGCTGATGAATTCTGGGAGTAGAAATCCACAAGTTTTTAATTTGCCAAGTTTGGATACCTCTGGAATAACATCTTAAAGTACTCTAACTCTGCCCATAGCCAGGAGTTCGATCCTGACAGGCTGAAGCTTAACTCGGTCTTCCATCCTTCTGATGTCAGTAAAATAATGAACCAGATTGTTGGGTACAGTATGCTGACTTGGTAAACAACCCTAAAAATGCTGTAAAACACTATGGGGCAGTAGATACTATCTGTCTAAGTGCAGTTGTTACTGCTACTGCTACTGCTATTCATTACCAAAAGATCACTCTCCTTTCTCTCAGCCAACCAATTTAATTCACATATGCAAACCTACTGTTCAAAAGCATATTTGTCAAAAATGAAACTTCAGCAGCTACGTGCCTCTTCGTTTCAACTTGCCATTAGAGTAAGGAGGGGGGAGGTTTTGCTTTAGAAATGATTAAGATGGAGAAATGAAACCCCTATGGTTCCGCTGAAGATCATGAGAGCCTGAAACCATTCCAAGGACACTGTGGCAGGTGTGGAGAAGAAGCAGACGGTTCTCATAACAAAGTGAAATTGTTTACATGGACTATGTGAGAGGGTTGGAGTTGGGCCAGAGAAATTATGTTTAATTCGATGAACTGGTGTCTGGGAACCTCAGAGTTAGTTTTGCTTCGAGATTACCATGCTGTGTACTCAATAAACAGGAAGAGTTTGGGAAACAGAATGAACCTGGATTTTTATTTGGATCTGCGAGATGGATGTTGACAATATTGTTCTACAGAAATAAAGACCATACAATCAAGTCCATATCATCCATGAACCTGTATTGTACCTTCCCCCAAAATATGACATAGTTCTCCCAAAGCTTTTTAATTGCATGAAGAATACTATCTAAGTCTAATCATTGGCCTAATTGTGCATTCTGGCTCCATTCCATTTGTATATGCAAGGTCTATTATCAAAATAGATGCAGAAGAGTATTTCTGGCTCATAATTTTCTTTCAAAATAAAACAGGACATTCTGAGGTCCTCCTTTTTGACTCAAACCAAGAGGCTTTTTTGCTTCTGAAGAAGTGCTGAGGAACCAACCCGGGAACTCTGCAGATTCAAAGGAGCAGGTATCACCGTTGCCATCACTCTTACTATAAAAAGTGAAAACTTTGGCGTTTTTTGGATCCGAGTAAAGATCCTGAATAGCTTTTTCCTAGGGAAAAAAAGGGAGAGACCATGAGAAAGAAGTGACGTAGGAACACTAGGACAACCTGGTTGCAAGTTACATAAACCATCATTAGCAGCCCCTTAGACGATTTCTACTGTCTATCGAGATGGAATTCATGTTTTCCCTTTTTACAGAAAGTTTTATAAATTAACACAAGTCAGCCAATCAAGTTTATTTAATGTCTAAGAGATAGACATTAAAGAGATTCTATCCAATCAGTTTAAATAAGTAGTCATTAGCTAAAGCTTCTGGAAGTCTTCCTTAGATACAATAAGGAATATATCACTGAGAATAAAAGGATAAATAAAAAGGACAATTTTCCTAGAGAAAGCAAAATATGTTTGTAATGCAAGTCAAACACTCACTTTTAACTCTAGCTGATATTGACCATTCCCAGACTTCACACAAGACAAGCAGCTGTTCTTATTTTCAAGGCCCATAAATATGGGTTGTCGTGGTTTATCTAGAGATGTATTAGGAAGCACGGCCATTAACTGCTCTGGAAAGAATGAAAAACAAGAAACAAGATCAAGGAGTTAAGAAAGAATAGAAAACGGGTTTTTTCCCCCTATTGATAGAGATGTTTAGGATGAGGAACCATTGGTATCTGGCTAACAATATGATTTAAAAAGCAAAAATATAAGGGGGTTATTGTTTTTTATTTTTATTGTTTTTTATTTTCTTTTTCTGTACTGTGTTTTTATTGTTCATCAGCTGCCTAGACTCACCGCAAACGAGTAGGAGGCTATATAAATTTTCTAAATAAATAAACAAACAAGCAAACAAACAAATAAATAATAGTGTTAAATGTGACCATCAGCCACAGTGATATATCCGCCATCAGCTTTTCATCACTCAAAGTATCCCATCAATAATTTTGTCCAAGAGAAGGGCTGCAATTTTCAAGCACAAGATAAGAAGCTTAGTTTGTACCTGGTGAATTAGAAGTTTTCACATCTGCCACTAACATGTTGTTCACCAAAAATAAGTATTTCTGATGAATATCCCATAATTTAAACAATCGAGGATCGGGTTCTTTGACACGGATTTTTTCTGGATTTATGGAAGGAATAGGGATATGCATTAAATACTTATTATATGTGCAAACGAAGAGAACATTCTAAAGAAGGAACAATCAGAGAAGATTAGAATGATATATATGTCACTGAAAAATGAATTACAAATAATTTGCCCCTCTTCCAAGTGATTTGCACAGATCTACCAGTGTCTCTCGAAAGCTGTTTGGTCTTGGTGGATATCATACCAAGAGGCAGGGGAGAATCCTTAGATATAGCCTTATGGAATGTAAACATGAAAGCAACTGAGATAATACTACAGGACCCAGGAAGAGACAGGGTGGAGAATCACAAGTGGGTAAGTTCTGGATAGTTCTAGCTATACAGGAGGAAAAGGCCCTAAAATATAGTTAGCAGGCAGTCATGTGACTGCATGTAATTAATGTCAAATACGGGCAAGATGAAAGCAATTATAGCCTAGAGTCACCATTAATTCAATCTGTCCTCGCTTCTTCCTTTTTCCTATCTTTCTTCTTCCACATTGTCCTCTTTCCCTTTTATTTCTCTCTCCTTCCCTCCCTCCCCTTTTGGGTTCACCTTGCTGATATTCAGTCAATCAGCCAATCAAATCTGGATTTGATTCAGTCATAAACCAGCAAAATGCTGCAATTCAGTTTTGAAAGGAAAAAACAGGATTGTATGAAATTAATGTCTTTTGAGAGAGGCATTGTAGTAGTCCTGGGCAACCTTGTGCTGTAATTAGAGTTTTAAGAAGATCACCTTCAATGAAAGGTTTAAAACAGTTTCTTTTAACGGAGAGGTGTATGTGTGTGAGAGAGGGGGGGTTAGAAACCAAATTTGAGGTGTCAATGGAAGATATAGAAGACTTTGTAAAGCATAGAAAAGGGACAAGCTTAATATATGGCCATTCTCATGTCTAAAATTAACTTTCTGCAAAATAAGATCAGAGTACACAAGTGCTATAATCCATGGAGCATCTACTTGATATATCAGCTAATGAATAAGATGAACATTTGCTGGACAGCTCTATTGCTATGTACACAACACTTTGCATTTGTTCTGGTATAGGGTAGCTTCCTCCAGAGAGTAGCACTAAGAAAGTTTTGACTTTAAAAAAACTGAAGATTGTATTTTTGTAGGATTGAAAAAATGAAGCTCATTTTTACAATGGCCAAATAATTAAGGATACATGCATGACTGGGGCAATGTTTCCAAAGCAGCAAATGAAGAGAACAACATCTTTCTCATCTCCTTCAGTACCACGAAATAGATCTGCTATTTCTTCATCCCAAGTCTTCTTATGAGAATAACTTGCCATCTCCCCAACCTTTCTACTTCTTCAGATTTCTCTAGGATCTTCAGAAGAAAGAATAGTTTAAATTAAAAATCCTGGGAAACAAAAGATGGAAAATATCAAAGACATTCTGAACAACATTGGTTGCTTGATTTTCTCAAATGCAATGTAATGTATCAGGTGTTGGAGCATCCACAACTTCTGGTGACAAGTCGTTTCACTGATTAGGAAACAGAAGATAGCTATCGGTGATCAAGATAGAGATGTATAGGAATTTAGGAGAAATGTATAGCATCCTGATGGCATTCCAAGCCTACCCAAAAGGACCTACATTTTCTTCAAAATTCCAAATTATCTAGTGCTACAATTTCCCCTTGTGAAAGGACAAAAAAAATAACATCACCACCATCCAAACTAGCCTTACTAATTATTGCTCATTATTTTTTCTTTATAGTATGCTTACAGCAAATGTTTCAGAGTAGTGAATGAGATTGTATTTCTGAGCTTGACTCAGAAAACCTATAATCCCCATGACCGAATCAGGTTTGGTTGCTGCAACATTATCCTGAGACAGGTATATTCGCCTTCATTCATAATTTTAATAAGTTGCATCCCTGCTTTAATGGGAAAAAAATAACTATTGAACTGTAAGAAAGAAAAATGGAATCAGAACAAATACAAACAAGCCCGGCAGATGTTTTAAAAAGTGCTAAATAGAAAAGCAAGTAGATATAGTTAAACCAGTAAATACAAGGGCTTCTCCAAAGTAATTTTCTTAAAAGGAAATCTAGTTGCTATCATCTAGTCCCAAAGTACCAAAACATCAATGACTCTTGGACAGAAAATGAAAGGGCCTCTTCCCTATGGATAGTTGGTCCTAGGAGCAGGTAGCCTAACCCAATAAATCAGGTGACAATACCTGTGGAGATGTTCCTTCTTGGGCTGAAGATTCCTTCTGTTTGATCATCACTGGAACTGACATAAGATTTTATATCTATCAGAGGGTGTTAACTGACATGCCCATCGATTAGTTGTGAAATCACCCTCCCGACTACTGTAAGAAATCATTTATCACTACATCTGGCTGTCCAAAACTCCCCATCCCTAAGGTATTGCTTATCTCCAATGACTGATGCCTTCTAATCAGGGTTAACACCCTGACATTGCTTCAGCTCATGCATGACAACACAACTGTCCTGGTCAAATTACTCACAAGAGTTGAGTAACCAACTCAGGGTCTGCTGTATTGCATTTCAAACTGTAATTTCAACATCTTCTGAACAATGAGGTCACTTTTGTCCCTTGAGGGGTCAGGAGAGGTCAAGAGTCACAATCCCACCCCAACCCCACCAGCTTGATATAATTCAGTTTAGCTCTTAATGTCCAGAAGCAATCTTTCGTTTTGCACAGAAAGCCTTCATAGAAGGTTTTCCTATGGTTTGGTTACAAACAATAAATCGGAACATTAATTTGCATGAAGGATTTAAATAGAATTGAAACTTAGTCTAGATGGATTAATATGATGAAAGCATTCAGTCCGAAAGCAATTATTTAAATCTAGGTTATACCTGCATACCAACGCCTTATTTAGATTATTATATTATACACAAGGAGCATATCTTATTTTTTTTTCCATATTTAGGAGTGATTTGAGGGAAAATATTAAGTTTCTCCTTGACACATGAAATAAAGGACTAAAGCATGGGGCACTGCAAGAACTGAACATGGTATTACCTAAAATAAAATTGTTGACAAATAAGTAGACGTCTTCCAGCTGCATTCCTTAATTCATTGACTTTGAGTTTATTGGCCTGAGATCTGTTTTCTTGAGGACTTCAATTTGTACATGAGATTTTCGTCTTAACCTTCTTGTTCATAAATGTTCCTGAATTTTCCCCCTCACTTCAGCCTGCTTTCTGCTTCCATGTGTCCTTATCCTAATAAATCAAACACCTCAAGTGTACTGGAGCAAAACCTATCAAGATTCTTAATGGAGAATCTCTCCCATGCAAATAGGAAAGTGATGCTTCATATTTGTCCGAGCATCATCCTACAAATTCTGCCAGGTTTTCTCCAAACTAAAGTTTCATGACACTCATGGAAAATGCTTCAGAATATTCTTGCCCTCCTTTCATGCTTCCACTGACAATCTAGCAATTAGATGTTCAAATTAGCCAAGACATGTTGGGCACACCCATTTTTCCTGGCACTGCAGCCATGGATGGCATGTCTCTTCCAGATGTGTTAGCCAACCACACCCTCCTCCTCCTCCTCCTCCTCCTCCTCCTCCCCAGATCCTGCTTCTCACCCTGGAGAAGAGAAAGTGGGTGGGGTGCAACCTAACCAGATCAACAAACCACACCCATCTTTCCCTCAAAGCCTGGGTTTTTTTCTCCTTCTTTCACACAAACACATCTCCAGTAGTGGAAGATTACAGGGATCTGTTGAGGCCACTTGGGAATCGAGCAGGAGAGGATAAAATGGGGGAAAGTCCTAATGGCACTAACACAATGGCAATGAGATGGGAGGGTGGTGCATCCATTCTCGCTCTCAGTGGCTTTTGGTTCCATCGGTTCTGACATCCTTCTGGACCCGCTTCTGGGATCGCGGACTGGGGGCACTGCGTTGTCCTGGTGCATTTCTTCCTCTGAGGCCATTCTCAGTCAATACTGATGAGGGGAGAGAGATCTGACCCCTGGCCTTTGCTTCTTTCTCTGCTACTGTTTAACACCTACATGAAACTGCTGGAAAAGGTTATCCATGCTGGCTCAGGAATTCTGGGAGTTGAAGTCCACGAGTCATAAAAGAGCCAAGGTTGCCTACCCCTGGACTAGGTGAATGTGCATTTCCTTTTTAAAAAAAAAAACTAAAAATGTAAATATAATTCACAGAAAACCAGACACTTACTTCCAACACTTTTGTTTTTATTGCGGCTTTATTAGTTCATTGTTATTTTCTCTCTTGATGGGTATTTTTCCATACCAATCAAGGAACCCATTTTTGCAAGTCTATGTAATGCAGAAGACAATGGTACAAAGGACTGAATAACAAACTTGAAACTACTGTTTTCCCTTAGCCACAGACTCAGGAAGAATTCCTTTAAAGAGACAAGAATGCACTCTCATAAATAAGTTGGCCCCAAGCTTTAAATTCTATGTCTGTTCCCTCTCTTCTCAAATAATAGTCTTTTAGCCCTCCTTTTCTATGTTTTGTGAGGTAAAGACATCTCTACCATGTTTACATAACAGGTCTGGCTGGCCTGACAATTTTTAGTTCCGCCTTTATGATATTTTCTTCAAAAGATCACCAAGTACGACAGGTTTTCTGGATCAGGCAAACTGTCATCTATCTCTACTGTGGATCCCACCTTCTGCTTCATTATCACAGTCTGTTCAAAAGAAAAAAGCCAAAAGCCAAAAAATATTTCCATCACATATAAAATATAGCAAAACAATCCGCTCCATCTCTCTTTGAAAACAAAACTTCTGATTCAGTTTATTCTTTGAAAATGAAACAGGATGTTTTCAGGTCCTCCTTTTTGGCTCAAGCCAAGAGGCTTGTTTGATTCAGCAGAAGAACTTAAGAACCATCCAGGGAACTGCGCAGATTCAAAAGAGCAAGTATCTGGGCTGCCATCGGTCTTGCTGTAAAAAGTGAAGCTCAACAACTCCTCTCTGTTTTTGTATAGCTGCATAATGTTTCCGTTCTAAAAACAGGAAGACTTCATTAGAAAGCAGTTACGTAGGATAGCACGGCTGCAAAACTCCTCTTGAATAATTTATAGCACCTTAGAAGACACATTTTCTACTAATAGGGACATCAATACACCCTCTTTAAGCAAAGTTTCCTTTGTCACTGTCTTGTTATTTAAAAAACCCACAAATATTTAGCTGATAAGCCAGTGACAACAGCAATTATGCCAAATGTAACCAGAAAACAAGGAGAACGTGGGAGTAAATGCTTTTACAGAAGTGTTTAGGTGTACTTGTATGTACATAGAGTAAGCCATCATATTGTTGAAGCTACTGTACTTTGCACTTTTTCAAAAAAAAAATAAAAATCATTACCAATACGTGACAAGGTAACATCTAAGAGGGAGAAAAAGAGAGAAAGAGAAAGAAACAGAGAAAGAGAGAAAGAAAGAGAGAGAGGAAGAGAGAGAAATGTCTGTAATCTGGCAATATGGTTACCAGATTACAGAAATTTCTCTCTTTCTCTTTTTCTTTCTCTCTTTCTTTCTTTCCAACCACATCACTTGGATCTGTAAAAAATGATTGGACTCAGGAAGATAATTCCCATTTAACCATCTCTAGATTTCCATTGGTGAAAAGTATTTGAGACTTTTTAATACCAGCACAGAATAGAAATAGTACAAATCATGCAACATAAAAGGACAAACAAGGATAATTTTCCAAGAGAAACTGTCCTCCCCCATTGAAGTATAAGTGAAATACTCACTATTAACTGGAGCTGAACTTGACCCCCCTCAGGCTGCACACAGTTCATTACAGTTTTTGGATGGATACCCATAAAGATGGCTTGTTTTCTTACATCCAGAGCATTATTAGGGAGCACAGAGATGAACTGCTCTGGGAAAGAATCACAGGAAGATACAATGTAAGGGGCGTTGGAATTCATTGTTGGAATGTATTTTTATGCAACCACCACAGTAGTATTCAGCCAGTAGATGACAGTGTTTACAAGTTTGGATTTATGATATATATACCAGTGATGGCGAACCTTTTAGAGACTGAGTGGCCAAACTGCAACTCAAAACCCACTTACGCATCGTCGAGTGCCGGGTGGGTGTGGCCCATTGGGTGGGTGTGGCCCATTGGGTGGGCGTAGCTGTGGTGGTAACGGCAGACTGGGTGGGACTAAAAAGTTCAATCAATTCCAACTATGCAAGATCTTTTTTTCCCGCGAGAAGTTGAAATTGACTGATTGAACCTTTTTTTTTTTTTGCACACGGTGGCGGAGGCCTAAAGCAAAAAGGTTTTATAAAACCCAGCTGAAGGCCTAGGACTGGGGCGATGGTGTGCATCGTGCCGCCTCTGGCACCCGTGCCCTAGGTTTGCCACCACTGATATATACTCTATGTTCTGTTGTTCTAAGTAGAGTTTCCTGTTTCCTGTTACAGTAAAACTGTTAAGCAGTAAAGTACATGGCGACTGTACTCTTGATTTGCTCTGTGGTGCTATATATAAACAGAATTTCTAACAAGAGGACAAGAAAAAATGGCATGGGTTTTTTTTCTATTAGTTGGGATGTTTTGGATGAGAAGCCACTGATGTTAGGTTAAGAACAAGATTTACCAAAGCAAAAAAAAAGTGGTAAGAAGAACTACAAGTCTTCAACCAGAGATAAGGCCTTTGTAGGCACATCACTCCTCTAGATACTATGGTAGAACTGTGTTAATCAACGGTAGCAAAGAATCAGGAGTCTACTAGTGCCTTCCTAACGAACAATTTTATTAAAAGGCATAGCACTTTTAGAAGTCAACAATTCACTTTATTAGATGCAGAAATGAACAGAGATACATCAGTTTAGCTACTTTGTGCAACTGAGTTATGGTTCATGAAAGCGTATGCTTTTTTATAAGATGTATTAGTTGGAAAAGGTGCCACCAAACTCCTGATTTCTTGTAAGAACATCTGAATCCAGGAGAAATTTGGAACTGGGAGAAATACTATGGTTCTTTCCATGGCAGCATTTCAAAGCCAAAGATTTAGTGAGGTGTGCATTTCCACTTCTAACATATCAATAAGAACGCAGAATGGCAAGATTACTTTCCAGCACCAGTCTATTGCCCATGGACTTATCTAGTTATTTAATTATCTGAATTCCAACATCTAAAGAATTCAAGTATCTAGAGGCACAGAGGAACACCTATAGAATGTTGGAGACCCAGATTTAGAGAATGAAGCATTCCACAGAAAATCTTTGAACTGAGAATTCAGGGTAGCTTTACCAAACTGGTTTCCAGTCTGCTCTTAGACAGTCATTTCTGACATCTCCAGTATCAATTCTGGACATCAGAGATATTTCATTAATCATTTTGGCCAAGAAAGAGTAGGACTGTTCCAGTTAAAAACAAAGAGCTTTTTTTATTTTTTTTACCTGTTGAATTTGAATCATTTGGACTTGCCACTAACTTGTCATCACCCATCAGGCTGAAAATCCTCTGGTGGATATCCCAAAATCTGAACAAACGTGGATCTGGATCGGCAGCAATATGAAAGCCACCTGGTTTAGGTTTTTAGGAGAAAAATTGTATAATATATAAGGAAGCAGTTGCTTAAAATCTGACTCAAAATTAAACATTACTTGGTTATACTTAACGTTGTTAACTAGTAGAATATTAATTGATATCCCTCACTGTGCATGCATATTTTTCATTTGTAAAGAATAGGAAAAACACATTTTATTTCTACATTCTCTAAGTTATTTAGAATATAGGCATGTTTTGGAAACATCTCTAGAGCAATAAAGGACAAAAAATAAATGATTTTTTTTTTACCCTGGTCAAAGTCTTTGAATAAATTTTTCATTTCTTCATCCCATGTCTTCTTTTCAGCTTTTCCTGCCATTTCTATGGCTTTTCCCAAATTTTCAGATTTTTCTAGAATTCCTTAGCGAGAGTTGGTTGGGTGTTTTACAAAGGCTGGAAAACTTTAAATTTTTGTTAATTGTTTTCGATGCATAGCATCTTCATTTGACAGACAGACAGACAGACAGACATTAGGGAGAGAGATGGTTTGCAATAAATTCATTAAACCAATCAGAACAAAAACCATAATAAATAAAACAGTAATAGAATTTTATTGCCTTCTCCAAAAAAGCCCCTTAGTTTTTTGTTAATTATATTTAATACATAGGATCTTTATTTTGTGAAATTTTAATAATGAAATAATGAAATTGCAGAATTAAGGAGAGAGAGAGAGAGAGAGAGAGAGAGAGAGAGAGAGAGAGAGAGAGAGAGAGAGAGAGAGAGAGAGAGAGAGAGAACACTCTTCAAACTAACCAGAATTGAACCAGAATAAATAAACACTGGATTTTTTGAGTCCGTGAAACAAGGTTTCTGAAACATATCTGTAGAAGGCCATATCCTCACTAGTGACATTTAGCACATTCTCAAGTTCCAGATCTCCTCCTTTACATCTTCTTTGGCCCACGAAGCAGAGAATGCAGCACCAGAAGTTCTAAGCAGAGAAATGAGAAATTAATACCTGTGCAAATGTGGACACTTTTGTGAGCCTTGACGGATATCTGTCTTTCTGTGATGTTGTCTGGGCTTGCTGTTACAAGTTTTAACAACCAGTGGATGCACTTTATATAATATGCCTAATACTTGCATTTTGATTAGCCCTGATTGGGCCTCATGTTTTCGAGGAACTATATTATTGGTTGGTTCAGTAAAAAAACAACTGCTTTTTTTTCTTCCCACATCCTGCCCACAAGTGCTTTCAACCAGACCAAGAAGCTCTTGAAGATATTGCCCAACCTATTATGTGGCCATAATTTTGGAGAAAAAGTAACTGCTGACTCTGCCAAAGCTTTTTGCAACACTCAGAGTTCATTTAAATGCAAAAACACACGCCTAGTCTTTGACACCTTGACTGAGGCAAGATGGCCATCACGGGGTGGGGTTGAACTCTGAACTGAAGATGCTGGAGGTGTTCTCTTCCTCCAAAGGAATTCCTTTTAGCTCAGGACTTCAGAATCCAGAATGCCCATTAAGGAGCAAAGAAGGAAGGGGAGGCAGAATGTCTATGGAGATTCTCAGTCATCCAGGTCATAGTTATCCCAAAGGTGCTTTTTCTGGACTTTCTTGTTTTTCTCTGAAGACGTTTCGCTTCTCATCCAAGCAGCTTCTCCAGCTCTGACTGGATGGTGAAAAAGCTTCTTGGATGAGAAGTGAAACTTTCTTTCTTCAAAGAAAAACAAGGAAGTCCAGTTGCCTCGTGAAAAAGCACCTTTGGGGGAGGCAGAATGGGCGTGGAGGGATCCACCTTGGGTTTATTTTTAGGAGGACTGAAACTTTAAAATGCTGGAGAAAATACAAAGTGGGAAGAAGAAACTCTAGGGCAGTGGTTCTCAACCTTTTTAATGCCGCAACCCCAACCGGTCGTAAGTCGAGGACTAAACCGGTCGTAGGTTGAGGACTAAACCAGTCGTAAGTCAAGGACTACCCAACCGGTCGTAAGTCGAGGACTTTCCCTGCCCTTGAGCACCGCGCATGCATGGTGCCGCCCCCTGCACCAGCTGAGGCATAGCTGGCAAGCGGCAGAGACGGAGCAGGCCGACCACCGGCTGGGCCACCAGCTGGCCCAGCCCAAGGGAGGTAAGGCACCTGCCAGAAAAGGGGAAAAAAATGGCGGACAGCCTTGCTTGGCGACCTCTGTGAAATGGTCGATCGACCCCAAATGGGGTCGCGACCCATAGGTTGAGAACTGCTGCTCTAGGGAGAAAATGCCTACAGATAATCCTTGACTTACAGCAGTTCGTTTAGTGACTGTTCCAAGTTACAACAGCACTGAAAAAAGTGACTTAGAACCATTTTTCACACTTACAATGATGACAGCCTCCCCATGGTCATGCGGTCAAAACTCGGATTCTTGACAGCTAGTTCATATTTATGACGGTTGCAGCATCCCGGGGTCATGTGATCACCTTTTGCGACCTTCGGCCAAGCAAAGTCAATGGGGAAGCCAGATTCACTTAACAACCATGTCACTAGCTTAACAACTGCCGTGATTCACTTAACAACGGTGGCAAGGAAGATCATAAAATTGGGCAAAATTCACTTAAGAAATGTTAGATAAGAGATAAGATAACCTTTATTGTCATTTTTTTACCGTGGGCATAACAGCACACATCCAAAATGAAATTTAGTTGCCCGCTCTCCAAGTGAAACAATACATGATACCCACCTAAACATACTATGAACAACATATGTACAGACCCACACCCCTACATATACATAGCAAATAAATATTAAATACTGTCCATCTTAAATATATAACAGAAGGAAGAAGCTTGAGAGTTCACAAGCTTAATGCTGTATGGAATGAAACTCTGGCTGAATCTGGATATTCTGCTACAGATACCACGAAGCCCCCTCCTCCCAGAAAGTAACAAGGAAAACAGGTTGTGAAGAGGATGTGTAGTGTCCCAGATAATCCTGCAGACCCTGCTCAAGCAGCGCTTCTGTGCTATGTCCTGGATGGGAGGGAGGGAACTGCCAAGGATCTTTTCAGCCATTCTCACCACTCTCTGCACCGCCTTCCTGTCTGAAGCAGGGATGCTTCCAAACCAGACTGTGATGCTGTATGAGGAGGATGCTCTCGACCGTCCCCCTGTAGAAAGTGGTCAGGACAGGGGAAGGAAGATGTGCTTTCCTCATGCGACGCAGAAAATGCAGGCGCTGCTGTGCCCGCTTCGCCAGTTTCTCACTGTTGAACGACCATGTCAGCCTATTTGTTAGCTGCACACCCAGGAATTTGATGCTCCACAGGTGAATCATTAATGCACAGAGAAGTGTGGCTGTGCCTGTTTTGCTTAGCAACAAAAATGTTAGGCTTAATTGTAGTCGTAAGTCGAGGACGACCTGTGTATGTTAATACTGCAGCTCCCTCTTTCCTTCTTTTCTTTCTTCTTCCTTTTGTTCTTCCTTTTATACACACACACACACACACACAAACACACATCCAAAAAGATTTAATGTTGGGGTGCGCTCAAAAGGGGTTCCCTAACAAATAATAAACGTAAGCCCAGGATCCCATTCTATTTTTATTGTTTAGCAAAGAGTAATAATGATAATAAATCAAAAAAGCAGGCATTGTTTAAGTGCCTTATGATCTGAAAAATTCCAATTTTGCTCAGTCTGCTAAAAATATCCTCAGCTGTATAAAAGTGAAACATTTACTTCCTCACAAACTTACATTTCCCGCGAAATCTGAAATAGGCATTCGCCTTAAACAATTCTAGTGATGACAAGTTCCGCTTTTTCCTTCCTCTTATTTGTTTCAAAATAAAACAGTGTGATGCCAGGGCCTCCTTTTTGACCCAGACTGATAGGTTTGTTGGGTTCAAAAGAAGTACTTATGAACCAACCTGGGAACTGGGCAGATTCAAAAGAGCAGGTTTCTAAGCTGCCATCCGTCTTGCTGTAGAAGCTGAAGTCCAAAAACTTCTGGTTTTGATTGTAGAGCTCCATAATGCTTCTCTCCTAAGAAAACAGGAGGGGAAAGGTGTTAGAAGCAATATGGAGAAAGGAGAATATTTGTAGCTCAGAGTTGAAATGAGGGGTCCATGGTGCTGACTGAGCTTGGTTGCTTTCTTGCAACATGTTTCATTACCCAAACTAGGTAACAACAACAACAACAACAACAACAACAACAATCCTGACTGCTCTTTAGAAGGCCAGATCCTGAAGTTGAAACTTTGGCCACCTAATGAGAAGGAAGGACTCATTGGAGAAGGGCCTAATACTGGGAAATATTAAGGGCAAGAGAAGAAGGGGACGACAGAGAATGAGGTGGCTGGATGGAGTCACTGAAGCAGTAGGCATGAGCTTAAATGGACTCCAGAAGATGGTTGAGAACAGGAAGGCCTGGAGGAATGTTGTCCATGGAGTTGTGATGGGTCGGACACAACTTCGCAACTAACAACAATAACAAGGTAACATCATTACCGACAGAATAGCTGGAAGTCAGTGCAATTAAATCATTGGGCATAGTCTTTAGTGGAGAGATAATGGAAATGGATACAGGGAAAAGATGTGAACGTAGCAGCATCTGAATGGGAATGCAGTAAAAATGACAGATATAAAAAGTGAGTGAAGTTCCTAATACATCTGGCAAAAACTTCATGCCGTAAAACAAGATATCCTGTGCCTAAAGTAAGTTCTCTGCCCCCATTTAATCTTCTATTGCTGCAATGCATTGTAAGTGTGTGTATAAATGTGTACATATACATACATGCATGGACACATACATACACATACATACATTATACATATACACAGACACACAGACACACACATATATATGCATTTTCTTTATATAAAAGAAGATAATTACCTCCAAGATTATTGAAAAATATTACTTGATCCCTACAGGTATTTTTTAGTTGCATTAGTGCATGATGTTACCTAGTTTGGGTAATGAAACATCTGCAAGAAAACAATCAAGCTCAGAGAACATCAAGGACCCCTCAGAAATAATATTTCAACAATAGATCGGTTGGAATTGACTGCAGGGTTTGAAGTCCTAAGAAAAAAAGCCTGGAAGCAGGACTACTTCCTCCTCATTCTTCTTGGGATAGCAAAAGTCCAAGGAAAGCTGGCCAATTCAGTGTAGTGTTTTCATTTTCATTTCCTACCACGTTCTAGTGAGAAACTAACGTTTATGAGTAACTACAAGGGTGGCTAAGGGATCCAGCCTCACAGCAAGAGGTTTGAGACCATGACGGCTTCAGATTGTGCATAGCCAGTGGTGGGATTCAAATACGTGAATAGCCAGTTCTCTGTGTGGATGCTGCTTCCGGAAGTCCATTCTGGGCCTGGGCAACAAAAAATTAGCTACCGGTTCTACCGAACTGGTGCAAACTGGCTGAATCCCACCACTGTGCATGGCCCATCTTGTCACAAAGAGTCAGGCAGAAGAAGGAAGGAACTAAAATAATGAACCAGAGCAGGCATCATCTGAAACTCCTACTAGATAAGGTGACCAACTTTTTTACAATGAAAAGGAGGACACAAATAAATTGAAGAAAAAAATATTGTAAATAAAAGAAACATTTTATTCATTGCAACAATAATACAGACAATTTGCATGTGCAAAGTTTGCCAGCCGGGTGTTTTGGCGCGCTCAGCACCAATTCCTATTGGCTTTCGAAAGCCAATAGTGGGAGTAGCACAGCTCATGCAAAAGTTGAAAAAAAAACCCATCAAAAAAAGGTGCTGGAACGCCATTTTGAGCATTTTATGAGGGGAAAAAAAAAGCCCTGCAGATTAGTCTTCAAATATCGAAAAGGAGGACATGAAGGAGGAAACTTTTTGAAGGAGGACAGAACTTACAAAGGAGGACTGTCCTCCCTAAAGGAGGACGGTTGGTCACCTTATAGAGAGTAGCCACCCAAGATTACCACAGATTCTTGACCGTGAGAACAAAGTAAATTAGCCGGTGAATGGCCTTTCAGAAATCAGT